TATATATACTATATATATATATATATATATATATATATATATAAGTGTGTTTGTGTGTGTGTGTGTTTGTGTGTGGTGTGGGGGGGGCGGGGGTGTTTGTGTGTGTGGTTATGTTGTTATTATGAGTGTGGGTGTGTGAAAGTGAGAGTGTGTGTGTATATGTGTATATGCATAGAAAGTCATGAGGAGTGGAAAGGGGGTGGCACTCTGTGTACGCGATATGAACCCCAGACCTATTACACATGCCATTCTCCAAAACAGATCAGTCAAAGATTCACATGCAACGAAAATTTACTCACTATGATCAATGTCGATCCTGATGACCCTGATGCGCAGTCGGTCGAGTACGGTTCTTATGATACGACTGGCAAAGCGATTTATCATACAAAGGTTTCTAGCTCTATCGCTGCACATGTCTTCACATCTGTGTATCCGCGTGATATCGATTGGATCATCATTTGAAGCAATGAATAGATATAGCACAACCGCAACACCGGCAGACACGCCTCTGGTCGCTTTCTGAGAGTGTAAATCCAGGGCAAGATGTTTTGATACTAGAGTCTCACCCACCACTTCCAATTAAACATCACTGGAAAGCTGAGCGAACGATATACTGTCAATCTTACAAACCAATTATCCATGCTCGCGACATGTACATGACCGGTAAAGCATGACCCACTACCAGTTACTAATTTAATTGTGCTTCTATCAACCCAACGCCTCCAACAACACAGTCAGCAATCTAGACGTAATGGCCGGCAATGGCACTATTGGATTAGAAATACTCGAAGATCTCCCCGATGTCGACGCCGTTGTCATTCCGTTCGGTGGGGGTGGACTGAGCTCATCTATCGCGTCTGTGGTACGCGCACTCAATCCCGCCACACGGCTGTACGGTGCTGAGGTCGAAACAGCTCCACCTTTGAAGGCATCTTTAGACGCCAACAGCCCTCGGGAGGTGGACTACACACCATCGTTTGTGGATGGGATTGGTGGGAAGAGTGTACTGGAAGAGATTTGGTCTCGGGTGAGTGTTCTGTTGGACGACAGCCTGGTGGTTACGCTTGCCCAGGTGAAGAGTGCCTTGAGGCTGATGCTGGAGCGCAATAGAGTGCTTGCGGAAGGCGCTGGGGCCACTCCGGTGGCGTGTGCGCTGGCTGGCATGGCCGGGGGTGGGAAGGTGGTGTGTGTTGTGTCTGGTGGGAACATAGACATGGAGAAACTACTGAGGATGCTCAGTGAACCTATAGCACCAGATGAGTAGTTTTCATGTATCGGTGAGTTGGTGGCCTGTGTAGTGCTGGTGGGAGCATAGACATGGAGAAACAACTGAGGATACTCAGTGAACCTATAGCACCAGATGAATAGTTCGAGTATCGGTGAGTTGGTGGGCTGTGTCGTGTCAGGTGAGAATATAGATATGGCAAAATTGCTTAGGATGTTCAAGTTTAAATGAAGTGGTGGTCTGTGTGATACCTGGGAGAATACAGCTGTGGACAGAAGCTACTTAAATATTTCTGGAGCATTTGAAATCTGATGAATAGCGTTTATAGTGGGTCAAAAATGGTCCGGGTGTGGATGTCAGTGTTGTTCAGCCTATGAAAGCTGAGCGCTAGGTATGGTTTCTGAGTTAGTTCCGTGGTATATGGAAAATTTGGATACAAGCATACATTTTGGTGATGGTACGACGCACACAGTAGCCAATGAATGCGCCTAATAGTTATCGAATCGGTGATAGTGGCGGTATTTCGTAGAATATGAACATCAGTACTTCAATGAAGACATAGCAATTAAAGAAGTCCCAATATTCACACACAGAGTGAGTGGAGGGTGTCCTTCTGGGTCAAGAGTGTCAGTTGGTAGTCGCAGCGAATTGATATTTTAAAGCCATCGGAGGTATCCACGTATGGCATTTCTCGCGATATTCTAGATATCTACTGGAATTTTGAGGAAGTGATATACGAGTCGTTTGAGATGTTCAAGCTCTACTCTCAGATAGAGGTCAATCGACAAGATATTCGACCACTAATATATTTTACGAGTCTAGATAAGTTACGCCCCACGTTTCCGAGGCGGATCTGGTCATTGCAATAATTCACGAACTATATCAACAGAAACTAAAATAAGGGGAATAGATCCTAAATCTACACAGGCAATTACGAGCATAATGTGTGTGTTTACACCCCGAGATCCGCTTCTCTATTATGGATTTTCGAGCTGAATAGTAAATCATCCACTTACAGCGGATAGTGATGCGTAGCTCGGGCTACTGCAGCAGATGCAATCCTAGCCGATGTGAGCAGATCAATAACCCATGATTCTGCAGAGGGCTTGTTATACTTACCATCTACAACACAGGCAGCTCTACCCCGCCACAAACGACCCAGGGTCACCTGGTACGTTCATACAGCTAGGTGGCACATTGTGATCATGTGAAGCCCACCGAAAAACCACTCGACTTACAAAGCCGAGTACCTAATGACAGTGTTCAGTTTAATTATTAGGAGATTAGTTTTTCGACATCCGACGCTACGCGCTAACACCGTCTTCTGCACGGTAACTCGCTGTGATCTGCTGGCCTCCCATGTTTCTTCAGCAATCGCGAATCTTGCATGCAGTATCAAAAAATGTCTTATCTTTATAAAATTTATCCACAACTTGGCATTACGTATCCGGGAGCGATGGTGTGCAGGTTTCACTGGAGGTGGATTCATCTGTGTGAGAGGCTGTGATGAACTTGTTTGTGTTTGAGGCGCGTTGTAAATGAGAGGCTCTCTGAGAGTGGTCCGACTTCCATACCATCCGCACACTTTCCGATCTGTAAAAAGAAGGTACGAAATGCACAGACATACTTTACATGAGTACAACCAAGTAGTGTATCTGATTGAAGGGAACACATGTGGCTGATACCACACCAAGACACCCGAACCGGGATTCAATAGACATCATTGAAAGAACTTTTGCATGAGTGAATGGCAAGCGGCGGCCACTATGCATGCAACACGTACCTGTGGCGCACATCCGCTTGGGGAACACTCACATTGCTGGTCTTGATATGCTCACTGCTCCTCCTGGGCATGCGAGGCGGCTCACCTATTTTCAACTGACTGAGTACGGTTTCGTGCATTCCGTACTCACCAGAGCAACTGTTCACATCAGCATTCCTATCGGTATCTTGTGACCCACCAACGGATGTGCCTGAGGTTGTAACCGTGCTATCCGGTGTTGAGGTAGCTGCGTCACCATCTTTGCCGAGACACACTTCGTTCGCCTTTTCGGAAGTTTCAGCTTGGCTACGCTCGAGACAACTTCCATCCGAGGCTCGTTCGTCTACCGCACCTTGTGGGTTACTTACATCAGCTTCTTCACGTTCTAATTCAACTCCATCATACGCAGATGCTTGCTTCTGTGCCCCATCCTTTGCCGCCGAGCTCGATGTACGAGAGACAGACATACTGTATCTTATGCCAGAATTTATACTGGCGCTTTGAAACTCTCTATTAGGCCTAAGCGGTGATGAAGGAGTGGTCGGGATAGCGCGCTCGGCAACCCCCTTGAGCTTCAATTTGTTGACTTCAGGACCTATGCTTCTATCCGTACTAGGCGCCGCACTCACACTTGTTGTACTCGATTCGCTCTTGGTGTCTGTGCCGGTGTCGGAATCGGGAGATATATTAGGCCGTATATCCACGGTAGCGTTTTCCCTCGTGCTAACGGTACCCAGACCCTCTCCTTCGCCTTCCGCAAGGCCCTTTTTGTACTTGCTCACGCTAGCGTTGGCAATGGCGTATCGAGCGGATACCTTGGGTTTGGGTGGACTGCCTCTCTTTGCGCATACGCTCACACTGCTGCCTCGCACGTGACGCTGCTCTATCGCTGTTTCCTTGTCACCGCCCACTATAGTCACGCTGTTGCCCCTATCATTCCCGTGCGGATTAGTAGCATCAGCATTACTTCTATGTTTCTCCATCGGACCCCCCAAGCTCTGTGTTTCCCCGTCATCCTTCGTTCTTTCTCTTTCCCTTTCTTTTTCCCTTTCTCTTTCCCTCTCGGCCCTGGCCTTGGCAGCGGCGCTTTTTCGTTTGCTTTTCTCTTTGCTGGGGGACTCGCTTTCTTCTGTGACTACCACACGCCTACCTAACATCTGGCTCAGTTTGCTGTGTCCCAGTTTATCGAACGAATACGACCTCATGATACGGTTGGGCCGTGCGACTATTGCTTCTTCATCGGTGATCGAGTATCCCAAGAGGTCCATCACCATAGCACACTGCACAATTGAGTGCAAATGTGGGTTCAGTATACACGTGAGAAGTAGTGTGGCGAGACAGTGAGGTCGAATGCGAGCACTCCAGACCGAGGACCTTGTACTGAAATGGTCACCTTTTGAGCCTATAATCGATCAGCGAAACAGCAGTTATCCAGTTCACAGAGGGCAGTTATGCGCTGCATGGGCGCCGATGTACACACACAGATTAACACAGGGCTACAATCAATTAACATCTTGATCAACCCCAGGCACATACCTCTGCAAAGGATGGTCGACTTGATGGGTTCAGATTGGTACATGTGATCTGGATTTCATTGAGAGAAGTTAAATTGAGAGAAAGGATATAAATCTTTAGGACAAGGTGCTTATAGGCAGTATAGTATTAGGCAAAATCCAACAGGTCGGCCCAATTAGGAATTTTGAACAATTAGCGGATTGCAGGCGATTTTAATGAACCTGAAGACTACCCAAGTACGTTCTTGTATCTAGATCACTAACAGCCCCACACAAAAGACTATGAAGAAAATTTACAAATGACACCAAATTACTAATGGTACACTAAATGGTGTGTACCTGTCGATCAATTCACTTGATATCCAACCAACTTCTGGGCGTGATTGTAATACTAGCAATCCCGTACAACCACTGACTGACTAATGAATTGAGAACCTACAAGCAAACATGTACAGGCGTCCCGACAACACTTACCAAAAGTTGGAAGAAATCGAATGGCATCTCCGGAGGGCAAAGCTTCCGTAAACCGTCGTAATCGACACCAAAGTCATTCGTGCGCGGGAATATATCCGGTTCCGCTTTGATCCGTGCGGCAACCTGTGAGTGGTTCACAGAGCGTTTAACGTGTTGGCGTCGGTTTCCTACTCGGTTAATATACAGGATATCATCAGACTGATAAATTCGAAATCGATATCAAATCTGAACCATTCTGAGATATACCTCGCCCATAATGATGCCAAAGGAGAAGACATCGGCGCTGTGATTGTACTGTTTGCCGTGCAACATCTCCGGCGCCATCCAGTAGGGCGAGCCCACTACGCTCATGCGCGTGGGCCTTCGCTCAGCAACACGGGCCAGGCCAAAATCAGCCACGCATACACTCAGATCCGAACGAATTAAGCAATTCTTGGATGTCAGGTCTCTGTGTATGACATCATTCAAGTGTAGGTACGAGCATCCTGTAGCAGTTAAAATGTAGTAACAGATAAAATGTACTTGGAGGTGAGCATCCTGTTCATAAGATTGTGCGCATGATCGCGTGTCTTTTTTAGTGTATTGCATCACTCTGATGACGAACTACCGTTAAGTTTTTGCGCCAGACGTTGCAGAGGCAGAATTCGAGATCAGCAATCAGTGGCATGTTCCAATCATACACTTGTAAACATATTAGACCACGTTTTGCCAGGGTATATAGGTCGACCTGCCGTCTCATAAGAGCATCAGTTTCCGGTTATGATTGGATTGACGGACTTTTAGTGGTGTTTGGGTAACTCTAGGGCCCCTATGCCTTATACACAAACAAACGTCTCCTGACACGCACTGTGCGAGAGAATCAAATTTTGAGCTTTCGTAACTAACACTGTGTCATATCACACCTTGTGACGGACAGATATACGGCGGCGCGCACACTCACAGAGCTTTATTGGGCTGTTCTCACCTTTCGCGATATCATGCAGGAAGCCGAGACGCAGATCCCAAGTTAACGGTTTAGATTTATCTTTCAGATACCGGTGCAGGGTACCTCCACTGATGTACTCGGTTATCAATAACATCGAATGGTCCTGTTTTGCATACATGCAGAGTCAGGGTTACGCACATGAGAGGGTTTCTAGTCGCACAAGGTTCCGAATGGCAATCATCGCATTTTGAGCTGTCAAGTGATACGAACTTGAGGTACATCGCGAATGAGTTTTTACGTATCACACATTCATTTATACAGGAGCCAAGCAATATGCGCAACTACATTTCCCAAATCTCGAGTGCAGGTTCAGACACAGCACCTGGCAATACACCGCGCAAACCACTGCTTTTCTGCGCACACTGTGGCTACTGTACAAACACTCACCTTCAAAATGAAAACTCCGTAGAATTCTAGGACATTTGGGTTTCGCAGTCGACGCAGCAAGGTCACTTCGCGCTGGAATGCCTATAGATTAAAAAAATAATTATGAAACGTTATGAGCACATAGCCACCTGTCAACGACGAGTTGGTTTTGATGGTAAATATTGGCATTGGCTGAAGAGGTTATGAAATAGGTACACTGGTAAAGGACACACCTGACCGCATATACATAATAGTGTATAATAGCGAAGCTTGTTATGCAGTTTGTATCTTATCCATTCGAAGGTGATGTATTTATCAAAACAATAAACAGGGTGGTTCAATCGCGCACTGAGAAGTACTCGACCGCACCGAACCGAGACTCAAAACTCAGACCTCTCGAACTATAGTTTACACAGCTAACAGAAGAGTCTTTATGATCTACCGAACTATACATACCTCACAGCCTTCTTTGTCTGTAGATGCTTTCATTTCTTTGACAGCCATCTTCTCACCAGTTGCCTTGTGTGTGCACAAATGAACTGAGCCGAAGAACCCCTGTCCTAATTCGGGACCGAATTCTGTGGATCGAGAGTGTGTGTGATAGCAATCATTGTTTAATGGATCATGCCAACAAATATCAGCTCATACATATATATTCATGATTAATCATAGATGAATGCAATTATATGCATGTATATAACCGGAATTTATAATCGTCGTGAAGAACGATAAATTCCACGCATTTACACGCATGATATTGGAATATCAACCTATATACCTTTCTATATACACACGGCACAGGCTGTACAGTTTCGACAAGTTGCGTCTATGTTTCTGCATCTCCCGTTCAAATGTGTTCATGAGCAAGCATTCGCGTATACAAAGATGCGCTTATAATAACATGCCCAATCAAAAGTGCAAACCCTCAATGTCACACTTTCAGACAACGTAATATATATATATACATATAACAAACGACCGCGCATACTCAGATCGTCCAGCCTAAAATTCCGCATCACATGGTCCTCCCTCCTGTGTCTGTAGTACTTGCTTCCCGTGCCACCCCCTTTATACCGCCTGCTGATTTTCTTGCCTATAAACCTAGCCGCCCCTGCTACTGGATTCTCCGTCAGAAACATCTTCAGTGTGAAATCTACGCTGTCATTACTGGATACACTAACATCGTCCCCGTCTTTTGTATGAACTTCTTTCTCCCGCTCGCGCTCCATTTCTCTTGTATCGAACTCTGTGCTAGTTTTAGGTGTCACTTGTGCAATATCGTCGGCGCAACTCTGATTAGCAGTCACCTCAAACAGCACACTCTTTTCTGATTGTCGTCTAGTGGTTTCAGTGTCATCCTGCTGCACCTGACACCTTGAATCGGGTGGTTGTTGCTGTTTCTGTACTATCGGATTCATTTCTAACTCCGTTTTGGCCTGCAAATGCACGCGCGCCTTCGGCTGTACCTCATCGCCTTCCAAGTCATGCTTCAGCATATCCGAAGATGAATCACCCGTTATAAACAGTCCAACAGGTCTGTCATTTACACTTGTTTCCGTGGCGCTACTGTCACTTAGACCGCCACCTGTGTTGCCAACACCCACGCCCTTAAACACATCAGAACTACAGGATTTTGTCTTTTTCTTACTCTCGTGATGAGTGTGTAAATATGAATTTTTACTGCCGTCTGTATATTTTCTGGAAAAGCTCGTACTATTGCCCTCGTCTTTGTCTGCATTAGTATGTACATCGCTTCCCTTCCTGTTTTCAGACCACAAAGTCGCATTCGCACTTGCGGGCCGATTTGTCGGAGCACGTCTCGCCTATATATCGAAAGAGTGATTATATGAATGTTTAATAGCCGCTATTGCGTATGGGCAGTACAAAATAGAGCGGATAAACATAAAATAAACACAAACACAAGCGCGATTGTGAATAGAATGGGTTCTGTCCCTGAAAGCTTGATTCTTCGCCTAAACCATACTCGCATGTACAGCAATCGGAAGGACGTTCCAATATATATATATATATAATTAGTGGGAACAAAAATTGTACTTGTAGGCCTAGACTGGAAACATCCAACTAAATTCTGCAGAATTTTTTACATTACGTCTCACAATACAGTTTGACACATAGTTTGTAACGTATTGTAAATGATAAGAAAAT